GATCTTTCCATAGTTTGTTTTAGCCAGAATCTGTTTTGGTCATGAGAAGCTCGATCTAACAGGTCCTGCAAGCAACTTAAGGACATTAGTCAAAAAGTGAGATCCAAAACCTGTTTGGTGGTTGCTGCTTCTAAATCCCAGAGGTCTGAACTCCGTAGATACTTTACCTTTGGACCTTAGGAAGCCTTAATCACTTACTATTCAACTTCCATTTCCCATTTAGGCAGAGATCCTAATCATTTTATGGCTGATGAGTCCTTTGAAAGGTCCTAAGTCAGGAGTTTTCAGAGCAGGACTAACACACTCGGACAGGGTCCATATGAAATGCAAGGGTGAATACAGCTTTCTTTAAAGAGCTGGCAGCTGTTATGAGTGCCCACTGCTTAGGTAGCAACTTTACATGTTTGAGCACTGGCTCAGAAAATGAGAGACTCAAGTTAAATCTTTCTCTCAGCCTTTGAGAGATCAAACTCCATTATAAGTGCCTTGACCGCTGTCCTATAGGCAAGCCCAGTACTTCCTACCCCTCTTGATTCAGGATCTGCCTCCAACAGATGTGCATTTTTCTTAAAATATTAACAAGAGTAAATACTATTGCCCTGGTGTTACTGCTTTAATTCTTAAGGAGAAATCTTTAAGAAGCATTGTAAGGAGAAAAACTAAGTCCCAGTTAGGAAGGAGTAGGATGGTTTGCTGTTTGAGGTGCACTAGTTTAGTGAATATGTGCAAATTAAGATAGGCCAAAACTGTACCCAAATAAATACAATTCTGGTAGGAAGTACCTTATTCAGCTGGCTTCTCTTAGCTCCCCTTCTTGGTAGCCAAGTGATCCAGCTATAACAGAGAAGTGATGGGTGCTCCGAGTAATGCCTAGCCCTTGGCTAGAAGTAGAAGACACTGATTAGATAGAGTTGGAGTTGGCTACAGTTGCCTAAGATGCTGCATTTATGCAATTTGCATGAATGTACAGCCTATGTGCCTGCTGCCCATGCAGTCTGTACATAAATAAGTAAAATTGATGGTGCGTACACAGTAAATGATGGATGCATTGTTCACTCGCACGCAAAGTTCTACCACCAATGGGCACCTTGTGTCTTCTGCATGACTGTCAGATGGTGGATTTTAATATTCCTAATAACAGCTCCCTGCCAGCGCATAATTTTGCATTAGAACTAAGGTGTTTCTGTCCCTTAACATATGGCTATAGCTAGCATGCATATTTTCTTATTTGTATACGGAGTGCAGACTAAATAGAATAGAACTTGGAACATGATTTTTTTTTGGCTCTTTCAGTGCCTTATGTAGTCATCACTCATCTATATGGTTCTTAATAAGTACCAGTACATCATTCTCCAAAACTTCAACTGCTGCACGTCATCTAATTTGCATCACTGAGTATTAAAAACAAATATATTTAAGGAGTAGCATAACTACCCCAGCCTTGACTTGTAGAATACATGGACCAAAGTAACCAGATGCACTCTGTGATGAGTACACAAGGCCTTAGGGTTATCCTGCCACAACTTTGTTTGGCAGGAAGGGAGGGAGGCGCAGGAAGTCACACCCATCCATGTTCCTTGAGTGCTGTAGGGGAGCAGCCCTTACAACGCAGCCCATTGTCACAGGGTAGGCATCCCCTACCCCATGAACACACTTTGCTGCTGATCTAGCCCATGCTCTCCTCGAACATGCAACTAGTCACCTTTTAAAGGGTGTCAAGACTTACATGACTGATGCTTTGACCACGAAGTAAAGCAAATGGGGCACACCTGAGTCAGGTAGTTTGGAAACACAGTGATATAATCACACATGGACATGTGAATGGAGCCCTATATGTGAAACAAGCTTGGGTGACATCCTCATCACTCTGAAAAGAAAACTAGGTTTCTTTTCCCTAAGAGCTTTCTGCTATGTAGGGTTAAATGTAGGTCCATGTCTGTAGCATGCTCAGAGCTAAATTAAACCAAAATATTCCACCCCCTGCACTATCAGTCACAGTGGTTTCTGTTGACATTAAATTAGTATGGAGTGATCTGGAGCTGGCATCTCAGAAAGCTTCTGCAGCTTCAGGATGGAAACTTGGCCTTCATTGAGAAAAATATGATTTTTTTTCTCACTCAGGGAATGGCTCCCCACTGGCTGCTTTGCCTAATCCCATTGGAATCTACCACACGAGAGAGAAAACAGTGCAGTACAGGGCAGCAGCAGAACCAGTGGTCATTTCTGTTAAAAGGAAGCAAGGAGAGATTATATCCATCAAGTGCCGAGCATGAGAACCTGTACCATTCACAACCCACATTTCTCTTCCACCATCCTCCCTTTTTAAAGGAGGCATCAAGCTGCCCCATTTTATGCATAGCAAGTGCCTCCCTTGGGCTATGGTCTTCTTGATCTTCAGCCGGATGACCAAAGCCAAACCGGCAGAAACCCTCTTCTCTTGACACAGTTGCATACAAAGCAGAGGTTTTGCTGACTAGGGGATTGTGATCTTCTCACATCCCTAAGTGATGCACCTATTCCGTCAGAAACTTTGTAAATGGGAAAAAAAATCTAGGCATCCATGGGTAAGTTCATGTAGTCTGTGTACTTAAAATGGACACGCTGTCCAAAGCAGTCATTTGGCCACCAGTCTAGAAAATAAATAGTGTTTAAGGGTTAATCTAATAAAATGACATCATGCACAAGTTGATACGAACAAGGGCTCAAGGTCTTTAAAACAGCACAAGATGAACACAACAAAACAGGGACATCTGAAAAAAGTACAAATAAGCTTAGTATTACAAAAGGATTCTCCAGTAAGGGTTTTAAAATGTGCATTTTAATTAGAACTCTTTAAGGCACAACAGATCAAAACAGTGATAATGAGAGCAGCCTAATTAATTTTTGTCTAAGTAAGGAAGGCTCATTATAAACTGAACTTTGGAAGAAAAGGATTTGGAATGTAAAAAATGTGGGGTTTATAATGAGGATCAATACAATTGGGAGCCTTAAGGCAAGACCTGGAGGTTTTACAAGACTACAGCAGATACTGTATTAATCTTTCAACAGGCAAAGCCCCTGCTGAGCTGAGATATCCCATATATAGTTGGTTCTGGGTAGCAATCACTGGCAAAGATATTAAAACACAATCAAACAGAATGGCATATTATCAAACAAATATAATCACAATTAAAACCAGATTCAGAGAAAGATGAAAGCAGCCTCCAAAAATGCAGTTTCCTGGGAGAACTGGCTTCAGTTGGCACAGGAGGAGCTAAAGCTTCCAGATTTGGAGCACTTTGAAAAAATGAGGCAGTATCTTATTTTCATCAGATGCATCCTTGAATTGAAGCTGTCAGAATGGAATCAAAATGCTGGTGGGCAAAGCCCTGAGGGAACAAGAACTGGTGCTAATTGGCTTTTTCCTTTAGAATAAGCATAGTCTCAAGATTTACATAATCAAGCTATTTGAAAAGCACGACAACACAAGGTGGCAAACGTATCAACCCACTCGCTGCTTTGATTCAGAACAGTATTCAAAATCCAAAATTGAGTGGGGCCTCAGAGACCAACCTGTTCTCCCCAGGAACAGAGAAAGAGAAATCCAAGTTGAAGTTAGCACTCCCTGAGGAGCCTTTGAAGCACCACAGTTCAGCAGTGGAGAGATCAGACTCCAGCAAGTTCAAATCAAAATGTAACATGCAAATTTGTTACATCCCCAATAACGATGTGAAATTAAAGATTGCCATGTAAGATGCCTACCCTGATACCTGGTAAACAGAAAGGAGCATAGGTCTGGGGGGATTCTTCATAATTGTTAGGCACCTTAGAAATACTGTTAATGGACACGTTTTGGTCTATCTTGCTAAGATTTGCCTCACGTTACCACTGATGGATGAATTTTACTGGATCATCTTGGTGGGTCTCTTCTGAGTTATCTAGTTCTTTTTCCTCCACATTCCCATATTGTACAAGATTGATCTAACTTTAGCCAATGGACACAAAGCGGCAGTATTTTTTCAGACTGTGAACCATATACCATAACTTAGCTTTTGAATATCAGTTTAAGGGTTTAGGAAAGGTAATCTTTTACTATATTATTGATTCCAGTGTCATGCTCCAAACAAAACCTAAACCTTCATAGATTCATAGATGTTAGGGTCAGAAGGGACCTCAATAGATCATCGAGTCCGACCCCCTGCATAGGCAGGAAAAAGTGCTGGGTCTAGATGACCCCAGCTAGATGCATATCCAACCTCCTCTTGAAGACCCCCAGGGTAGGGGAGAGCACCACCTCCCTTGGGAGCCCGTTCCAGACCTTGGCCACTCTAACTGTGAAGAAGTTCTTCCTAATGTCCAGTCTAAATCTGCTCTCTGCTAGCTTGTGGCCATTATTTCTTGTAACCCCGGGGGGCACCTTGGTGAATAAAACCTCACCAATTCCCTTCATATGAGAGCCTCATCTAATGAGTTTTAGGAGAGTTGAAATTAAGAGATTACCTATCCTCATCATAAATTTCCTTTCAGTACCTCACCCATTCATCTTTAAAGGCACAATTCATTCTGCTCTTTAAGATTTCCTAATAGTCGGGACTGAAACCTATTTGTCTGTTTCTTACAATAGCCACTAACAAGACAAGGAAGGGAAAAAGATGGATCCATGTTGATCAAAGGCAGCCTTACTGGTTATTTTTTAAATCGGTCCCTTTTCACTTTGAAGCTTTTGCCATTTGAGAAGAAAATAAATTAAGCTGCAGACAAGGGTATTCCATGATTTTTAATAATTTTGGGCTGTAGTTTGACCACAGCATATTAAGAACAAGCATAAAATCTGTATTTAAAACTAACAACAGCACTTAGAGCAACATCTTTCTTTAAAAGTATTGCAGTAACAGACCTTAGGTCTAAAAACTAGGACATCACCATTTGCTCAATTAAAAGAGGCAGATACACAACAGTTGAAATCTTTTTTTTTCCTGTATATAACTGGGAGTTACATTGAAAAATAAGCAACAAATCAATTGTGTTAAAGGAAAATAAAAATAAAAGTCTTAAAGCAAGCCAGGTTTGTCATAGCTTCACGTGAACAGCTATTAAGAAGTTCCAATACAACTGTAAAACAACTTTTTTAATAGACTGTTTTTACAACAATAAAATTTAAATGAAGGATTAAATACCGTGGATAGTGCTGTACATATTTTGGAATAACTTGAAACAAAATGGACAAAAGTACAGACATGTTGAAAATGTGATCCTGAAAGCCACAAAGTTGGAAACGCACACACGTTCCCACCCCACAAAGAAACCCCCAAAACTAAAAACAAAAGCAGACAGCAATAAAGCATCTGACGCTGTAAAATAACAGCTAGCAATAAACAACAGAAGGTGATCAAGCTTTCTGAAAGCACACAATAGTCTGGTGGCAAATTCTAGGTATAATAATCAGCTTGACTGATGTACTCACCATCCTGACATGCTCTGAATAGAGTAGTGCTAGACAGTGTTAGCTATACAGAGAAAAATTCTGTAGCAATGCTTACATGGTCTTTGTACTGCAAGTGAAGAAATGATTTTGTTAAAGGCTAGTACACTGCTTTTATTATTATTATTTTCCTGTCCAGCAGTAAGATACCTTGGACTCTCACAAGTTCCGATTATAGCTTCTTCTTTTTTTTTTTCTTTTTTTTTTTTTTAAGTATGAATGCCTGCTGTGCTTTGCAGTAAATGGAAACGTGTGAACACAGAGCTACGAATACACTTTAAATAGATTTTCTAATCTTTTCACTGCAGCTTCAAAGCAGATTAGTGACTTTAAAAGGAGACAACATCTTGTTTGGTCCACTCGGTATGCAAGTTTTGTTATTGTAAATCATACTCTAGATTTCCCCTGCATATGTATACTGTGTAAGTGGCATTCTTAGGCTGGGTTTTATTCAGAAATTATACTGCAGTGCAAATAGAAATGTGGAAATGGCCAGCAAGATGTACTTGCAAAATATTTACTCTGTGCCCTGACTGACAAGGGAACAAGTGACAATTGTAAAGTATCCATATTCAGGGGTGTGACATGCTTTCTGGGATAGAACAGTGCAGTGTAGATGGATGGAGAGAGCTATCTGCAAGGTTGTGAAGGCCACAAAACCTACACCTTTCTTTAAAGCAAAACAAGGGGAAGAAAAACAGAAAAGAACATGATCAGCATTCAGGTACACGATTCCTTAGAGGGCTTCTTAAAAAGATATTTACAGACGAACGTATAGCTGAAGTTTCAGGTCAATAGAGAAGTCATGTTAGCCCATTACAGAACTACTCCAAAAATATACTTGAGTGCTATGAGCTTTATCCAAAGTCAGGTGACGTCAATAGAAGTCTTGCCATTGACTTCACTGGGCTTTGTATAAGGCCTCCTGAGCTTTAGCAGAGCTAGATATCTGAAAACCAAACAAAAAAATGCCATCTCAAAACGCATCCCAACACATTGCTAAGTTACATCTGTGGTTGAAGTCGGATGAGTATAAAAAGCTACAAAGTGACAAAGAGTGTCTACGAAAGTTTAGGTGGCATCAATTCATTAGAGCGGATTCTTCTGTCCTCAACAGTTAAGCTAAGCTTCTTCTATCATCTACCTTCCTGGGATATTTTTTAAACAGAGTTTAAAAAAATAAGTACAGTATCTGCAATTCTCTAAACTAGAACTTTGTGTTTGTTTTCCTGAGGTATTCACTTTATCTAACAAGCCATGCCAAAAGCATTCATGAGCATGGTACAGACAACCAAAGGGGTGGAGACACTGTAGCACCCAACTGTCAACAGGCTTTGCCATGCACACCACATCTGCCAAGCGGTGGGACACTACTCTTGTTCTTCTCAGATCTAAAAAAACCCAAAAAACTATTATGCACCCCCCTCAAAACAAAAATCGAAACCTTAGACCTACTGCACCGCAGAAAGGGTTTGCTAGTATTCTGGCAAACCATCCCGGTGAAGATGCAGTTAATAGTGGCAAAAGAGTGCTTTCATGGATACCACTTATAGCATTTCCCTGAACAAAACAAGCTCTACTAGCAAAAGCACTATTTATGCAGATAAAATTGCATCTTTGCGAAGGCTTTTGTCAGTATAGAAATGTCACTGACAAGAACCACACCCCGAACCGATGTCACTACATTGGCAAAAAATTTAAAACCACTTCCTACTGGATTTGGGCAGGTTTAGGCCTTGTCTATACTTGGTATCAACCCTGATTCAGCAATCAGCATAGCTGCAGTACTACACACACAAAATGTGGACAAGGGAAGTGGTATTTCACCCCCTCAGCTTGCCCTTGTTTCAAACAAGGGTAAGGCTGGAGCAGATGGCAGCTGCTCTTGGCTACATTTGGACCTTGTACACCTGCAGGAGCACAGATCGCTGAATCACAAAGTGCAGACAAAGTCTTTGTAATACTACAGAAAAGGAGGGTTACAGGCATAAGACAAGGGCCGGCTGGTTTTGCACTACTCCTAGTTGGCCTAGCGTCAGCTTTGCAGGGATGGCTTGGCTCCAGGTCCCTATTTATCCAAGCTTCTCTCGAAGTCACAGGGTGTGGATAGAAGGATTGTAGGGGGCAAGTGGGGTGCTGGGGCCCACCTCAAGTTAAGTACAGCTATTATCGAGGGTAGTAATAAATAAAATACCTACTGGAAATGAAATAGCTAATACTGGTCCAACTCAGCAACAGTGAGACAAGAACACAGAAAAGAAGCATCTAATGGCAAGGTTAAAGCTGCAGAGGTTAGTTTGTTTTGTTTTTTTTCTTTTTCATTTTCCTTAAAGTGACACACAGAGAGAAAAAAAAAAAAGCATGATCTTCACAGCAAAGATGCATCAAAAACCCATGGGCTATACACAGGCTAGTCAAAAGCCATTTGTTCAAACTTCTCCTTTCCCTTGTGATATATTGATATTTTAATAGGAAAATAAATTACATAGACTTTTTTGTTATTTGTATGCATTCATTTGCAAATTTTCTTACAAAAGAGGACCAAGCATGTAAGTCGGCATTCACAAATTCTATGCCATTTTTTGTGTTAAAATTGGTATCATCTATACATTATCTTACAGTATTAACAAAGTCTTGTTTGTTTGTTTGTCTGTTCTACCCATTGGGTAGGATATGTGCATAATATATTCAAGTTATACACAGCACCTTACAAAGAAAAAACAGAAGAGACAGACAACTGAAAAAGCACCATTTTAAGTCAGGCACGACAAAGGTGGGAGCATATGGCCTGATCCAAAGCCCACTGAATTCAGTGGGATCTTCCCAACGCCTTCTCCAGGCTTTGGATGAGTCCTGTAAGTGCAAGAGGATTCCTATCTGCTCAGACCTGAACATGAGGCACCTTAGTTTCTTGCAAATGAGAAAACATGCAAACCTCCTCAAAAGTATAACTATGTATATCCTTATTAACACTTCTGCCACAGCAGACAGACAAGCACAAACCGTGGAGTCAGGAGATGCAGGAAAAAAGACAGTGCTGTGACCCACAAGATCCTAATGCACACCAACACTGTTCCAGAAAGCTCACATACCAAACCATTAAAAGCAGCAAAGAAATAACAAACAGTCATCCCGGACAGGAAATTGTATACAAGCAGGGTTTTGTTATAGGTTATTTTTTCCCTTTGTTTCTCTCTCTCTCTTTTTTTTTTTTTTACAATGCAAACTCATTTAGCATCAGCGACATGAGCATGGTTAGCTTTCCTTGTGTCCATACTAAAAACAATGTGGAGAATGACAAAGCAGAAGGGAGTTTAGATGTCTCCAGCACAAGCCGAGTTCAACCTCTCCTGCCTTGCTGGGAAAGCAGGAGAAATGCAAAGAGACCAATGACAAATGTGGCTTCGGTAGCCATTAAATACACATTAAAAACAAAATATTAGTGGCTGATTTAACAAAGCACCAACAGGCTCCAAAATTTTGCATTGATAGTTACTGTTTGGATAAAGCACTTCATCTCTACCAAGGCATCGGTCACACTTGAAGAGACTGCCAATACATACACACACAGGCAAACACCCCTCATGGAGAAAGCCTAGCTCGTACCAAATCCCTGAACACAGTAAGCTATTCAGGGAAGAAGACATTTTTGCCAGTGGAAGCGTGCCCATATTAGCATTTCGCTAACAATATGGGTGAGGAGAAGAAAAAAATCACATCCCTCAGCAATGTAGCTACGCTGTTAGGTTAAAGAACAGAACTGGGATAAAATTTGCAGACGATCCTGGGCTGATATTTTAAACTGGCGCTCCATTATGAGAGGTACACACTTGAAAGGGAAATTTGTTTGAGCCAAGTAAAACAAGCCCCCACAAAGGCTTTTTACATGAGAAACGTTGCTATAAGGGCATCTCCAGATTTTAAGCTATTCCGTAGCAATGCCTCTCTATGAGGGTCGGAAACAAAAGTGAGACACCTTGAGTTAGTTTAGGAGCATGTGTGCAACACAGCAAGCAGGCAATACAGCAAAAGGAAAGGCCAGACAGGCTTAGCAAGAATCTTTTTAGCTGTCCTTATGTGAAACAAGACTAGAAGTCACCTAAAGCAGGGCTGTCCAACTACCAAGCAGCCGGGGGCCACAAGCCCTGAAGGCTGCACCAGCAAGGGCTGCATCAGAGAGAGCCGCAGGCCCCCGTCAGCACCATGCTGTGCCACACAGACACCCCAGGCCATGGCCTCCCCCACCATAGCAAGCTGCACCACACCACCCCCCGCTAGCCCCAGGGGCAGGAGGTGGAAGGTGGACAGGGAGCCTGGAAACCCTAGCTGCCATGACGGGCGAAAGCAGAAGCTGGATGAGAGCCATGAATTGAACCCTCACCCGTCATGTGCAGCCCAGTTGGACAGCATTGACACCTGAGCCAATGCCATCCCAAGGATCACTAGTATGACATGTTGAGAGAACATGCTTCTGTGACAGCTTTAATTACTGCCTATTGGTACAAACGGGATCCTAACAGGGGAGGCCCACGAGCATGCAGACTGTTTCAAACCCATCCTAAAGAGGAGAGCTGTTGGATGGAAGTGGTGCCCGCACCAACTGAGGGACATGTGCTTGAGCAGCAGAAGCTCTGCACCTGGTTAGAGCAGGATACGATGTCCTATGAGAGGGGAAGAAGAGAACAACAAAAAAGAAAAAAAAAAGTGCTTCTCACACTTCCACTATTTGCCTGGTCAGTGCCACCGCCCTGTGATAGAGCAGTGTTCACCAGCACGATTTAACAGAGTTTATTGTAGGATTAAAGGGACATTGTAAACTACATTTCTGCCACTAAGTAAGCCCCAACTGCATCCCTGGAAAAAGATTACAGAGTAACACTAATATTTGGATAACCAGACAGACAGCACGCATGTGAGTGTACAAGGGCACGGACAAAGGAAACATTTACATCAGCCTGACTTGCATTATACCAGTGAAAAACAATTAGCAGACAGACAGCACTAACCCCTAAACCAGAGTTGTTTCATCCAAACTGGTAGAGAATTACTCATAAAGGAATCCAGGATCAAACATTCCTGGTAGAAATTCATCTGTCTATATCACTCTGGGATAGCCATTTGCTAAGGGCACCTGCTCAGCCACTACCTGGCAGGAAGGCACAGTAAGAGCTGTCTACTATGTGACCTACTCTGGGACACCTGCTTATGATCCCATTCCTGATCCTGTTGTATACAGTGGTAGAGAACATTGATTTAAATTGCATCGGGGTATGTATACATCTGTCCACAGCCTGAGCACAAATGCACAGTACTGGGTTGGTCATGACTCAAGGGCAGTGAAGCAATGAGAGTTTTTAGGACAATGGCAGAGGTCCAGATCCTAAGAAATACTTAAGAACACACAGGCAGAAGTCTAGTTTATGTCTCACTCTTGAGAGAAAATGTTTTTAAGAAGAATTTTAGAGTGAATATATTTTTATTGGCACTATTCTTTTGTACTCCTCTGCCTGTAAAGCAAGGTTGCCTTAGTTACCATGAGTGTGCAGGTCTCAGTCAGAAAAATGTTAATAATCAATCATTTTTTAAACTATCAAACATCCCTTTACAAATGAAGGTGACAGTTTTAAGATTTGAAGTCTCACTACTGCCAGGGCCAGAAATGAATGCTTTGCATAGCAGAATACCAGAAAGCCTGCACTCGGAGTTTTTCGCAGGATAAAGCTTTTTTCCCTAGCCTTATTGAACTGGGCTACTTCAATTCCTACTTTTACTAGATGCACATTCATTGGAAAAATCTTAGCAGCAGGCTCCTTCTCATCTGACACTAAGATTCAGAGATCTGGAATGTCAGAAGCGCCCCCCGGCCACGATGGATGGGTGGGCAGAATTGAGCGGAGGGCAACACAACATAAAAATAATTTAATCCACAGTTCCTGAATGCCATGGCTGCAGAAACAGAGATAAGAAAAGTTCAATCTTTATTAAGACCACAGACATGGGATGGATATGCATGTTCTCACATGCACAACAAACAACAGTGGTGTGGTAAAATGGTATCAGCATGAGTTTGGCTTTACTCACCAGCAACAATGAGCGGAGTTTATGGAAATCATCCCAAACTGCTAATAAACCTTTGTACCACACCACAGCATAACGCAACCTGTATAAGCCAGACACATTACAGAAGGGCTGGCTTAAGAATGATGGTTATGTTTGGACAACTCTTCCTATCTCTCTCGCTCGTATCTTAAGTCAGGTGCCTCAGAGATGAGAGCCAACTGTACAAGGTTAGGAAGACCCCAAACAAACCGCTAAGAATAGGCTACAAGCACTTCCCTAGAATGCCAAGGCTAGGAGTAAATGCTACATAACCCACAGGGAAGTTAGGAATTTCTTCTTCTGACATAAAATTCCCTTTCCTAGCCCTAAAAGACCAGCAAAATACTTTCTGCAATAAGATATCCATGCTAACCCACATCTGAATCTTGTCCACCCTGGACCTCTCACAAAGCTAATTTGGGGCAGAACAGAAATTCCAAATCTGTGGTGGGGAGAAGAGGGAACCCTTCATTTTTTGGCCAGGTTAATTTTTATAAGGTGATAGTCACTGAAAGTTGCTCAAAATTGTGAAGTTTTGGAATAAATCTCGGGAAAGACAGATTATTGGAAAGAGGGCAGGGACCTGCTGAACTGATTCTTCAAATGATTCTGCAGTTTACACAAGAGGTGACCATATGCATATAAAACATACCATGTATTTGCAGATTTAATTAATATAAGAAGCTGCAGAGCATATATAAACCTAATAGTTAAAAAGGTGGCTTGGAAGGCTAACGACCTCAAGAACCCAAAGTCTTTTTAAAGGGGAATCCTCCAGAAGTGCAGCTAAGAATTTGCCTCCATTTTTGAAGCTGAACAGATCGACGGTGACTGATTAATATTTTTTCTGGTTTGCTATTTCAGATTTCAGTTCCACTCATACTGTTGTGCTCTCTCTTCTCTAAGAACAGAAAGAAAAGAAATCACAAAAACAAGAGAGGACTCCTTGGTAACACTGTGCTACTGAGGTCATTCACAGAAGAGATTCATAGATGACTAGTGTCCATGAAGATATACTCAGAATGAAGCCTAAAAATCCTTGCTGCAGAGCTGATGAAATGCTTGTTTCCTTTGAAACATTTGTAGCCCTAGTTCAAGGAAACGGAATAGACAACTCAGGAAGCTTAACATTAATGTTGATAGTTATACATACATGGCATTTCAAGCGATGGCTTTGAAATCAACGGACACAGCCTTTCAAAGGACCTGCAGAGCAACAGGAAAGCTTGCATTCAAACTGCTCCAATGCCAAGGCCTGGGGACCTGCCCTCTTCTTGGCCCAGGTGAGCCAGGACAGAATGACAAGTGAGGTCCATTTGTTCTCTGCCCTAAGGGCCTCAACAATCTTTATTCAGGCAAGAACAAAGTATCTCTATGGGCAGATCTGACTAGTGGCTTGGTTTTATGTTCCCCTGGAATTCAACAAGAAACTTTCTATTTTTAAGCTGTGAATTAATGCCACCAGCCAAAACCTGCAGGCTGTCTGTAAAATTCTCATTTCAAACACTTTTACTCCCAGAAATTGTATGAGGCAAGAGATATAGCTGGCAGACAGCTGCCCAGTCTTCCCTTTTACATCTGTTCTATGGGTATTAGTAAAGGAAACTGCTGAATCTAGTCATGAGTCTCCAGCCTCTCGTTTCACATACATCTACAGAAATGAAATGAGCATTCACTTTGCATTACCAGGGGCAATTCGGATCAAGAAACAAGAAGGTTCTGATCAGTTATAAATGGGTCCATCTATTCATTATACTCTAATGTTTTTTAAGCTAGAATAAGACCTATACAGAGATCCATAAAACAAACACATACACGCAAACACACACACTGTTTTGGCATTAAAACTCTGCATAGATCAAAGATTCACTTCAGCAATCAGTTTCAAATCTAACCCTCTAATGTGCAGAAGTCATGCAGAAATCCAACTTCCAACAACTGGAACAGGTGCTACAGTACAGTACTTTTCCACAGTGCATTTGATGCACTCGTTGGCTGCTGCTGTTAACAAAGCACTAGGCTTAAGACTATAGAAAAAAGTGAGATCTTAAAGTGAAAACTCTATTATACATATATATTAGGAATATTAAAACTAAGACTCTAAAGATTCTTATTTTCTTTTGAAGTCCACTTCCGAAATGCATTTTAAGTGCATGTTGTGCTTTTTTGTGTGCTCTTGAAGTCACTATCACCATTCACCAATTGCCTTCCAATTCTTGCATTAGCTTCAACACAGAAACTGACCAGGGAAGTAATCCCCAAAACAACATTCAACAGACAATCTTCCAACAACTTTAAAACCAGCATTACAAAAAAAACAGGCCTGATCCCACATACACTTACATATGTGGATAATCTTTACCCCAAGCTTCAGTAAAAGTACATGCATGACTGAGAATTTGCAGGATTGGGCCCACAGCAATATGCTACACGCCTGCAGCGAGATAAACTGGTGCTCCCAAGTCACTTCCAACGACTCTAATGCTGCAGAAACCATAGTCAACATCCCTAGCCTAGTTAAAAGTATCAAATGTGTTGCAGAAACTGCATAGGAGGGGATGTGGTTACTGAGCTCCACTAGGATCTCCAGTACAGAATTAAATCACTAAAAGACAACCAGACCATCTAAAGCACAACAGAGTCATGTAAGTTAACAGCCTTACAGGAGAAGAAAAAACACCTTGCATTTTTAAACAATTTATTGCATAACGTCAGGATAGGTGACTAAATATAGTTTGGGCTACAGTGAAGACATCTCTAAAACCTTAAGCACTGATACTGCATTGTGAAAAGGAGAAGAAATGGCAGCATTTTGTTATAATTCATATAAATTAGCGTGTCTGGGAATTTTTGTCTTGAAAATGAAACAAATAGCCTAGCTGCATAATAGCTAAAACAATCTAAATTATGTGAAATGCTGGAATTTCATATTTGCTTTCTTCCATCCAAAAGTCTCCAAGACACTTCATTGATGCACTGTTATTTTAATGCAAATTATTGCAAAGATAACACCATGTAAAGTGTCACTGTATTTCGCAACAGACATTAGGCTAAATCCAACAAACCCCTTTCTGTGACAAATACCAGGGCAAGCTCCTCCAGATCACTCCCGGGGCCTAATCATTATTCCACAGGTGAAAAGACAACATATAGAAGAACTTCACGTAAAACAGTTCCCTCATATATATATATTTTTTTAACATTAAGATAGTGCAACTTTTTAAAAACACATTTATCACAACACAAATTAACTCCTTGCATTCATCTAATTTCTCAACTGTATACCTTGGCACACAAAACAGGAATTTTGATTCATATAAAAAAAAAAAAAATTCCACACCCTGGGAGAAAAATGCAAACTGGCTGATTCTTCCCCCATTTACTAGTAAAACTTTCTTTTTGTCATCATCTTTCTGCCATTCAGTTAATATAAAACAGGCTGTACAAGCCTCATATCTGTGCTAAGTTTCCTTTTAGAATTAAATAATTCAAATAGTTTATTTAAAAAAAATAATAATATATTTTTCCCCCGAAACACTGCTCGCGGCCAAACTGAATGGAAGTTTGTGTTATCTCGATCCACTTTGCATGCAGTTCCCTTGAAAGGAATCAGAAACAAAGAACTGGTTTGCACGTTTGGTTTTACTAAGTTGTACCACATGAAACTAACAACATTGTGCACAGGAGCCTGGGGACTTTCCACCACGGCCCTGTTTGATTCGTTTGTCTTCAGTTCAAATGCACCTGGGAAAGGGACTTAGACAAGGTTTCCTGGTTTCCTGTCTTTGCCTTTAATAGGGACTATTGTGCTCTCTGAATTGTTCTGCTGAAACTGAAGTCTGCTCCCCCTCTGCAATGAAGGAGGTGCATTGCTGTGCTGGTGATGGAAAAAAGAGGAGCCTGGGTAATGACCCATGACCTCACTGTAGGTTGGGGGCGGTTCTTCCATCCTTCCATTACTGCTGTAATTGGTTGCACTTATGCCCGAATTGCTGCTTGGTGGGCATGGGCCCCCGTTGTACATTGAAATGTCTATCAGGTCACTGTCAAAAATGGTTCGGTTGGGTGGTGCCCTGACAGACTCTCGGTTGAGTTCCATCTGCTGTTCTGGGTCCCGGAGCTGCAGCATGCATGGCCCTTGGTATGGTGGTGGTTCTTCCCCATCAGAGAGGGAGATGGTCGGAGGAAGGTCAATCTCATGCTGCATGTAAGGGTAGGTTGGCTGGAAGCGACTGAATCGGTCCCGCTGCATAAACGACGGGGCGGGAAACCTGTCCCTGGATCTTGGAGCATACATGATCTGAAAAGGAAAGACAGAGAGGTGAATCCACTTCCAAACATCATACAACAAAGCTTTATGGGTATTAATTACATGTTAAAAACCAACATAAAGAAAATGGAGTTGACAGCCTAGCTGACACAGACTAAACCAACAAAAAGTGTTGCATGCACGTGCACACACATACTAGCAAAGCAGAGCTGGAAGTGGGGTGAGAATCTAGCAGCAGCCATTTCTGAATAGCTTAAAAAATGAAGAGATTTTCCTAAGGTGTTCCTCCAACTCTTGGTTGAATTAAAAAAAATTGCATGGGGAAAAGAATGGGGACAGACTCTGTTTGTTCATGTAAAAAAAACATTCAGTAAGGTTATTTCCCTTTCCATTCTTGAAATGAATTGTAACTTTAAGAAAAATCTCCCATCACTGATTTTTTGTCTTTCTCCATGGGAGAGATTAAAATGTAGTATCTTGCTTTACGAAAGAATCAAGCTCAATGATTAAAACACCTGCACAGGTAGTGGGAGACTTATTCTCTCCTCTGACTGAGAATGCTTACTGGGTCCTGCCCCTCAGGTGACACAGGAGGATCCTGACAGGCCCGAGGTGTGCGCTAGGTACCTAGCTGCTTGCCAGCTGCAAGATGGTTATGCCCATCAGAACTTCTGTGGATCTTCCCATCCCCAGCCCTGGTTCAAATGGTAAAGACTTACTTGACAAGCAGCAGGTGAACCAACCAACCAAAGTTTTCTGAGAATGGGCAAATGAAACAATAAAGCAAATCACTAAAGCTTACTAAGGAAGTATGTCATACCTCTGAAGCACCCTGTCGTGACACTGAGTTTTCTGAAGGCCACAAGCACCCTTCCTACCACCAGGAAGAAAACAACAGAAGAGAAGAATTAACTTCTGGCACATTCTTACTTCAGCTCAGAGCACAATCGGCATTTTTCAGCTAGTTACATAACATTCAAAGAAACATTATTAAAAAGTATACCGCCCCCCCTTCCTTTGAACACACAACTACAGTGCAAACCAGACAAACGTGAGCGAAATGGTATTTAAAGTTCAAGTGGGATCCTCTGATCTGGCATAAATTTGCCTATATGCCTTTTGTCCTTTAGTCCCATGTGATGTACCTTTCAAATTACTACAGAAAAGTCATCTAGTTGAACAATACAACTCTCAGGCTCTCTCACTCACACCCAGTCCCATTCCAAATCCAGGAACTTTTTGGTCAATTCAAGAGCTGATCGCCCAGTGTGCAAATGTCACCATCCACAGTAACCAAGGTTTTATCCATCAATTCCAATCCTCAATCCTGGCTCCCTCACCTGTAGCAGGCTTTTTTCACCATAAAGGACTTTCTCTGTTACTACACTAAAGCATTTTCTGAATTTCTACATATTAAAGGCAGAATGAAGGCACTACAGAAGTATAAGAAGAAAATGTCAATAAGGGGAAAGAGCTTAAGGTGTATTGTTATCTTTCTTTTCAATTATTTTTTAGAATGGCAATAACTACCTTAATGGCTTTATTTTACTAGAAAACATCAGGAGCTGAAAAGAACACAGAAGAAAAGCTGTAAAGCACAGAAATTCAATCTAAATGCAGCAAAATCAAAAAGATATTTCTAAGAGGCAACTGGCTTTGCTGAAGTGTCTTAGTCATAACAATTTCCTTAGAACTGAGTCAAGTTCTGCAATTTTAGAGATGTAAGAAACTTCAGGAACAGAAAAGAAACGCATTGGTTTAGCAGGCTTGTCTGTTTTGGGTTGATCTTTTAAATCTCCCCTTCCTGTTTTCTCATCATATCATGCAGTTTGTTCTCTACATGAAGAAAAGTTCAGGAATATCCCTTGAGTTCATTTGCCTCAGTTCCCTTCCTCAGTAACTTAATGCATGCTTATTACCTTTAGCAGGAAACCATTTTGACTCAATTCTTCATTTCCTACTGATCAATTTGGTTTTGATCATTTCTGAGCCCTTTCCAATGTAAAAAAACTGCATAACTACTCCTTACCACAGAGAAAGCACATGTCTAGGAGAAAGAAAGAAATATTCTTAATAAGCTCATACTAAACACTCAAATGGAAGGAAGGGAAATGTGTTCTTTCATTAACAGGCAGGAAGGAAGGTCTCTTGGCTTAATGTCAAGAGTGCTGCTCTTCTACAGAATCATGGTCTCGCCAAGGGCAAACCAGTTAGCCCTACAGTTGAATTTTCTCTTTTTTTTCAAAGGAATTATGGCAACTTGCCTTGTTTTCAGTCAGGTGCTGGGAGACGCACTTTAATGTCCTCATATATGCCATTTGAGATGAGGATAAGGCTGATTATATAAGGTTGGCAAACTATACTACATAAAGCTTAGCTGTAAAGGTGAGAAGAAGAAAACCTATCCCACTCCTTCTAGTTGAGACCTGGCTATATGTACATCATTAACAGATCATCAGGATAATCAAGGCTGATGCTATCAGTAGGCAGAAACAGTGTCACTCAGAAGGTAAACTTCCCCAGAACTGAGCTACTCCAAGAGATCCCCTCAACAACAAGACAGTTCATTTTCTTCTGCTGAAGTCATTAGCACATAAAATGTCTGTCTGTCCTGGTTGCAAAGGGCACCTGACAATTGTAATACTATCCAACCTACCTTTGGAGCCATCTCCATGTTCAGTGGCCTGAGGTAGAAGTATATGGACTAGATATAGGACTCACTGACATGGTAAAAAAAATGTAAAGAAACATGGGAATTTAAACCACTGTAGGTATGGATACATTCATTTCTGAATAATTGGAAATTATCATCCACAGAGGGAACTATATGCATGTAACTGGTCGGGCTTAACTGTACCAACATAATCGCACGACTCCTACTTGTACGTAACCACTAAACCCTCATCACAAAACATGGGACATAGGGAGAAAAGGACTAGGATATTAGTATGATTCCTCTGCATTCCTCAGCTCTAAAACATTTCTAAAGGAACAGGAAAAGAGATGTATGCTGCCCCAAAACAATGAAATGCTCATTTAAAAGAATTGCAATTAGGCTGGGGAGAGAAAGTGCCAAATGAGGAAGAGAACAAGAAAAGGACAGAAACTGGGGGGAGGGCAGGAAGTGGAGGGGGAGAGAAGGGAGAAAAGACTGCATACAGCTTGCAAAGATAAAATTTTTTTGTAACTATTTAGTTGATCTAATAAAAGATATCTCCTATACTCCAAGAGTTTTGTCTACCTATGCCTTTAGACCAACATGGCTACAATCAATGCCCCCTATAGCCTCATTCATAACTTTAAAGTTTATACATTTGACGAATAGTTTAAGACAGGGAAGTTTCTTATGCTGAATGTCAGGTGTTGTATGTCCAAGGGAGCGCAGGGACAAGATGTTTAACTGTTGATCCAAAGACATGAGTTTAGGCTTTGCTCCCACTGATGCTAGAAACTGCCCTCAACCAACCCTGTTGTGAGTGGGTTACCTAGCCATCAGGGTAAGGAAGCAAAGGCAGCCAGATGTGATACTGGACACTTAGTTCCCTCGTGTGCTGTACGCTACAAACACTGGCATACCATCTCACTGGCCTGATGGAACATGGGTTCAGAATGGACCTTGAATATGGACTATCTATAGGGTCCATGCTCTTTTATCTAACACAGCACACTCAATTTGTTACAGGCTTCCTGAAGTAGAATAAATAAAGTTAAAAAATACATCTAAGTTAATTTAATAGTGAATGTACTTCAGTGCCCTGAGTGGAGTCCACGCCACCTTAAAAATACTTCTTTTTTACTATGAAAGGAGGCATCTGTTTGGAGAGACAATTCTGACCTGGCCTAACGTCCCATATAAGGTCTTTTCAACTACCTTGCTATTCTGTGACATTATTACACCCAACAAAAAGGAACATGTTAAAAAGGTTTTTCTCCTCACTATCCATACCCTCCGATTTGTGGATTTCACCTGCCAGCAAGCAGATGAAAGCAACAAGTTCATTCTTTCTGCCAGCCAAATGTTTCTACACGTCCTTTCCATGGCCGCTAAAGTTGCATGAAGAGAATGTTTTACAGTATTGTATTTATACTCTCACTCTCTTGCTATTTCTCTCTTTCTCCCTCTCTTTCAATCCAATATAATAATTCAATTCCAAAAAGACATCTATACCTTATTTTCATCCATCAGTTGATCAACAGAAACAAAACATAAACAGTTTTCCTTACCTAATAAACTGTTCAGGTATTTTTGTTAAATGCAGAAGATGCGATTTTTAAGTCAAATCTGACTTGGGTAAGGCAGCTGGTGCCTCTCGGGCCTGGCTCCAAGGGCATTCATAGACATGCTCCAGGATGTGGGGCACTTTAATTAGCGCAGCTCTAAGAGCTTTAGTTTTAAAGTGCCCCACCACCATTTTTCAGCGTGGGGATGATGATACACGAGGGTGGAGTCTGCTGAAGCATGGTAATTGTCACACAATATTAATCGAACAGCCTCCCTGCACAGGTATAGGAGTCCCAATTCCTGCCGCTCCATCAGCTGAGGCCCAACACTACGGCACTGATCCAAGAGGATGACGCATGCAAGAAGTGCAGACAAGAGGCATGTCCCTTATTGCTCCCATCAAGAACTGTTGTGGGGCACTTGTACATGTGACAAAAATTGCCCTTTTGTGTGGCTTTATATTGTCACACTTTACACATACGCAAGTTTTTGGTGATTTAAGTAAGTTTGCATCATCATAAACTAATCCTCATCCCAATGTAGTTTAGTTTGCGATGACGTAACTTGGAATGGTGCAGCCATTAATGTCACGTGTACATGGTAATTCACTGAAATGATGTGTTGTGAGCCCCTATATCCATTGGGCGTCGCTAAACATTTTGTATAGTGAGCACCCTTGTCCACCAAGTGTCGCTACAATTTGCAGGTATTTGTGTGTAATGAATGTTTTAGGACAACCTTAGCAGGCCAGGAGAGGAGCCCTGGTGAACACCGCTGACCGGCGCCAAAACTTGCAACAGTCGCAGAGCACAGCTCATGTGTGCCCAGAAAAAATCCCCCGAATTTGCCCAGCAACAGCCATGAGGAACCCCTGCTCCCCTCCACCTCTAAAACATCCCTTTTCAGCTGGCTACAGTGTAATTATCCCCCAATGCCATTAATTCACTCACCAGTTTTACATAAACCCAACAAGTGGAGTTCTGTGAGCCCACATGAGCCTTAAGTGTGCCCACTTTATGAATGGCAGGTGAGTTCCGTCAGCATTCATTCCCTCACCAACTATGTCTGAGCAGTTCAGACCATGTCCCACTGAGAGCGGTGTCTCAACACACATGGGTCACTGGGTGGCCTGCTGTTATGCCATGCCCCGACAGGGAGCCTGTGGGTGCCCATCAAGGGCCTAACTCTCAGTACATGGCTCACTGAGTAGCCTGCTACTGTGCCATGGCATACACAGGGCTAAAAGACCTAGCAGGGGTAAAAGATGTTCAGAACAAGTATTCTCATGAGATATAAAGTTGCCACTGGTGCAGAGCCCCCCCTCCCTCCCTCGACCCTGCCTAGCGCCAGCGTGTCTGATGTCCAAACTTTGCACAGCAACAACAGGGTGGGAGGGGAAGTGAACTTCCCTTGGCCCAGTCACCTCAAGACTTATAAATTGAATGCACAGCTCCCCAGGGTACCCCTTATTGATCCGAGATATCTGACATTCAGGGGAGAATGGAGCAGACCAAGGCACGCAGGTCTAGGTCCAAATGGAACTTCTCTGAAACAAAGAAACTAGTGCTGGTGCTGGGGAATCCTTAAGTCACGTGCCAGTCTGTCTGCAGCCTGTGGGCCAACTGGCACATCTACCTTGATGTTGCCAGGCA